GGATTACCTGTATGGTAGAACATTATTCAGAATAATAACTTTGTTCTGCTTGTGACAATGTTATCTGCTGGGCCATGCTAGATTGAACAATACACAAACGTTTTACACAAACAGAAGGTGCAATGTGAAGGTGATTTCTTTTGCGTATCTTTTGCACAAAGATTAGATTATTGTCTGAGAATGGCCAAGCTATATAAGAATGAATTCATACATACATACACTTCTAGAGAAGTGAGGTCCTTTTTTTACTAGAAGAATGAAAGATAATGAGAATATCAAAACAAAATGGAGATTACTGAACTGTTTCCCTGAAGATAAGAAGTTATTTGTGCGTGGAAGCAAATGCTAATTGTACCTTTCAGACTTTTTAAAAATGAGGTCTAGAAACCTAGCGCCTGTTCATACAAGCTATTAGTTTCAAGTGATAACCAGTTTAACTTCTTGCTTTTTTTGGTGTCATAAGGCACACCTGAAGAATTTCTTAATATGTTGTAATAACAAAAATAAGAATACCCCTTTCATTAGGAAAAAAAAGTAATTACTCCCTACATATAATTTTTCACAGGGATTTTTTTTTTTTTACTCAATGAAAGTTGGGATCAAGGCCAGCAAGCTCACCTAATATATGCCTTCTATTTTCCCCACAACAGCAACCCGGTGAAGTGGGTAGGCTGACAGAGTGAGTAGCCCAAAGTCACCCAACTGGCTTTTATGCCTAAAGCAGGACTAGGGTAAACCATCTCCCAAGCCAACACCTTTACCACTAAACCAAATTGGCTCTTATACAATAAGAATTACCTTTTATTTTGTAATGCTATGTGGGAATGACTTTGAGGGAGGAGGGGAAGAAAGGCTGCCAAAAGCAGTATCAAATAAACACTGCTTAACAGTCAGAGAAAGAAATTTAGGAAGGACCCGCCCTAAATTGATCTGACTAAAAAAAAAAAAAAAAATCCAGTAAGGACGGGTGGGCAAATGTGGCCCTTTTACAACCTGTGGACTTCAACTCCCAGAATTCCTGAGACAGCCAAGCTTAGGAGATTTGTACTTTCAGATTTGCAAGGTTCTGTTAATATAGCTTTACAATATAAGTGGCATGCCTGGTCAGGTTTCCTGTCTGGTTTACCCAGGGGGACTGTAACTGACCTGGCTTAGCAAGTGCCTCATTTAGTGACTGTCACAGTTATGGTGGTAATGAAACAGTAACCTTAAGGCCAGTCTTACATTTATTACCTCACATGTTTGAAAAGCAAAGGAAAGCTGAAGCAACATCATCAGCATAGTCACTGTTTCTCTTAATGACTAAGTTGCCAGTCCCAATTGTGGTTCTTAAACAAGGACTGCCTGGATCTGTAGTCCAAGGCACATCAAAACATCATAATAATACACTGTCCTGAGTATTATAACCAAGCTTATGTATATTTTGTTTCATTCATAGTAATTTTGCATGGCTTTGTTTGCAAATTAGTTCAGGGGGTGGCTAAAGAGCTGTGATAGGTAGTCGTCAACGTACAATCTTTCATTTAGCAACCATTCAAAGTTACAATGGTGCTGAAAAAAGTGACATACGGCCAGTTTTCACACTTATGACCACAGCACCCTCATGGACAAGTTACGTAAATTCAGGTGCTTGATAATAGACATGTATTTACAACTATTGCAGTGTCCTGGAGTCATATGACTGCCATTTGTGACTTTTCCGGATGCTTTCCAAAAGCTGAATTTGCTTAATGACCTGTGATTCATATAACAATCATGGTGATTCATGGCAAAAGTTATAAAATCAGAGACAAATCATTTAGCAACAGATATTCCAGTTGAAATTGTAGTCGTGAATCAAGTACTGTCTATAGTATTTTTATATATACAACATTTTTCATCCCTCCTACAGTAGTAGTAGCCCCATGGTGAGATAGGCAGCAAATAAATTTAATGAATGAATGAATGAACGAACGAATGAATGAACAAATTGATACTTTCATCTCCTATAGGATATTTAAGCTTCATTTATTGGCTTTTAGCAATCATTATACACTTTTTTCAGACTATAATGATTGACTGTGAACAAGATTATGGGAGGTCAGGATCACTGTAGCAACAGTTATGATATTAACAGCCTGAGCTTTCATTAAAATGGCACCCAAAGGAATGCTTGAGGCAGCAGCAAATGTAGAAGATCAAACAGAGGAAGAAACATGGCAAGGCAAGACCCTGCATAAGATGCATCATTGACACATAGCTGAGTTGGCTTGGGAAATCCTACCAGCCATTGGAAAGGGCTGGACTGAAACACTGATAATAGCGGCACAAGTACTGACATTAAGCACCAGATCCATAAAAGCTGTGGTCTACCATACTAGGCAGGACCCAAGGTGCAGATTATGCAGAGAGGCCTCAAAGACAATCCAACACCTACTAGCAGGGTGTAAGATAGGAACAGCATCTGCTGAACAGCATGACTAAATAGTTGGTATTCTGCTACAGGAACATCTGATCCTCCCCAGGTCCAGATGGAAGATGTCATAGAAGGTTATGGGGAATAAAGGGGCTAAGATACCATGGGACTTCCAGATCCAGACTGACTGCCAAATATTAGCCAATCCAAAGTCTGTACAGTGTTTGCATGGTACTATAATAATGTAATCAATGTTATCTAGAACATCTAGAGACACCGTTTCTTATTTCCCAGTTTGCTTTCTCATAAATATGATGACCTGGAAAAATAGTTCAAGCAGAGCTGTAAAAAAGTGGGGATCTAGGAATAGCTAAGTTTAAATGGTACATTTAAGAATGAAAGGCCATTGTCCCCACAGTCACTGTATTTTACAGTGGGTGGATTAGATATCGTTTATGACTTTCAGTTAATGATTACCACTAGGCGGTTTTGATAACTCAGTATAAACAGGCCATGTTAATCAATTTTATGAACCAAGACCTCATTCTCAGATTTTAATTTATAAAGTGGCATTTAGAAGAGCTTGGATCCCAAGCAAACAAGCAGAAATAGCAAGCAGAGAGACGTGAGAATTGTGGAAAAGGACTGGAGAAAAGTGAGTTTGGGGTTCTTTATCAAAACTTGCCTATCATTTGAGCAACTGCATTTTCATGGGAAGAGCTTTTGTAGTGCAGATTGAGTGATTGATCATATGTACGGTACAGCCAATAGCTACTCCACTGAAAAGATCATAGTATCTCAGGGTGTTCATGTTCCAGAGTGAAAGAAACATCCAGTGCTTGAGTGGGAGGATAGCTGCTGAAGTATCTCAATCTCACTGGGGAGGTTTCACCACTAAGTTAAACAGACAAGAGTCCATTGCTCCAGTTTTATTTACTTGATATTGTTTTGCAATCTGTGTTGTTAATGTTAAACTGAAAGTCAGGTGAAGTATCCATTGCAAAAAGAATGGCAGCATTAAAAAGTTTGAAGTGTTTAGGAAATACATTCTTCTCTTCTTCCACTCCCCCTTCCCCAGCACCTTCTGATAGGAAAGCAGCCCTCAAACGGAAAAAAAAAAAGTATTAAAAATTAGTGATAAAATACAATAGAAAGAGGCAATTTTGTACAAGCCATTCAGTATCTTGCTCGGGGTATGGTTCAGAAACAGGAAAGGTGTGCTTAGCCTTGATTTTAGAGATCAGGGGAAATTGGACATTGAAATATTAAAATTGGACCTCTAGGCCTTTTTCTGGATTTTAAAAAAACATGAAGTTGTGGGGTGCATCCCTTCTTCATCAGGATGAGATTAAGAATGATCAAATGTCATGAATACTATAAAAATGGGAATAGATTCTCAGTTTTACAACATTAATTACAGAGATGGATTTAAGCTTTTCCACATATGACCTACAATTTCTGATTATGGATGATTTTTGGGGAAGCTAAAAAATTAGTCTGGAGATGTGGTGGGGAGAATTGATAATCCAGAACCGTTTATCCTCCTGTTAATCTGCTTGTCTATGACTCTAAACTTCAAATGAAGCAGAAAGAGATGACATGGAAGCAAATCTAAAAGCAAAATAGGTTGAAATAGACTGATGCTCTAGAATATATTGAAAATAAATGGGAACAAAATTGAACTTCTTTAATCATCTCATTCTCATTTCCAAAGAAGGTTTTTGCATCCTATTCCTGTGACCTACTGCTAAATTGTTTAGTTTGGTGGATGGGGAAGTGGGTCATTCTGTGCTAATTTTGGAAATACAGGAGTTTGCCTGGAATGTGTTGGGGAACGTTGTTTTCATGGAATGTTTGAAACTTTTTTCATCAATGCCATTTATTATATGTGACTGTGAATTTTGTTAGTTTGGCTAAATGGATCATTTTTAAACAGTACAGATTTTTACTGAAAATATATCGTAAATTCCTGAGGGCAGGGCCGGATTTAGATGAAAAGAGGCCCTAGGCTATTCCACTTATGAGGCCCTTTCACCTATAGTGAAAGTGTAATTTTAATTTTGCTAACAATTTCAAAGTAGGCCCCTCTTGATCTTGAGGCCCTAGGCTGAAGCCTAGTTAGCCTATAGGAAAATCCGGCCCTGCCTGAGGGAAGCTTGATTCTTTTGGCATTAAAGCCTTCTGGTGCACTATGTGTCTGGTGAGATTCATTGGTCTGGCTGGATAGAAGGTAATATTTTAACTGCTTCCTAAAATAGTGATTCTTGTGTGAAACCAGAACTGAAATGTGAGCTCTTTTGGAGTCATTGTTTTTTCTTGGTACACATAATTGTATAGTTTTGTCTGTTTTACAGAAAAGTGTTTTGGGCAATTCCTCCTTGTTTTAGGTATAGTATATTTTAAGGCATTAAAAGGTTAAAAGAAGGCATTATTTATTTAAACACTCTGTAAAATGACTCTGGGCAGAAAACAGTTACAAATAGAATACTGTAGCTTATGTTCCTTTCTTTCTAAAATTGCTTGTTCCAGTCTATTAAATTCCATTCCAACTTTTATATCACCCTGAGAATTAGTTCAAGTCACATGGAGAGGATCCAGCTCCTTATTTTCCAAAATCTCTGCTGGATCCTCTTTAAGTCATTGTTTGCTCCAGAGAAGAGTGCAGAATTGAGTTCGGAGTTCTGCCCAAAGTCTATTTTTTCCTTGGTGGTCAGCTGGCAGAACAAGCCTTTATTATGAAGAAGTTTGGAACTGAAAGGTATTGTATTTGTTGTGGCGAGAGAGAGAGAATTGCACTGTGCCTCTCCATTACGGCTGAGAGAAGAGAAGGTTGGTTCTACATGAGGCTGGTTCTATAAACTGGCAAATTCAGAGGCGCAGGAACTGGAAGGTGAGGGGGCATGCAAAATGCTAGCAAGCTTTGCCTTGCCCTCCCCTCTTCTGCTCTGTGGGAGGGAGTTGGCTTAAAGAAAAGTTTGTTTAACTGTCTTGATATGTTCTTAGTGAACTGCAAAAGCATCAAGTTAGGAATTGCCTATGGAAAGATGATCTCCCACAGGTGTGTATCCAAAGTGTATTATTGTTCCTTTTCCTTCCTGCTGGTTTTAACACTTTGATAATCTTGCAAACTGATCTGCAGCACAAACCTGTTGATGCCAGTGATTTCAAAGTAGGAAATTGTAGATGCAGGTTCACAAAAGATATCCAAAGTAGATTAAATCAGATGCATTTGAATGGCATTGAATTGAAAACTTAGGAGCATTTATAAAATCCTCCAATTGGTCCCAGAGTTGGGTTCTGAGATTAAGAATTGTCTGAACAAGTTAATGAAACAGACACCTCTGAAATACTTCAGCATTGTAACACAGGACTGGCAGAGCAATGTAGATGACATTTTGACCACAGATTGAGGACCAGCATGGTTTGAGAGGGGAGTGGTAAGGAGCAGGAGTGGGTTCTACTTACCTTTACTACCGGTTTGCAATGGGGCCGCGCGCACCGCTTCACTCACGCATGTGCGCTCTTCTGCGCATGCACAGAAGCATTTTCATGACATCAGGGTCAGTGGGGGGAGCCTCCCGCCGGTTTTACTACCAGTTCTATAGAACTGGTGCGAACCGGGGGCAACTGACCACTGGTAAGGAGACTGAACAAGTCCCAAATTTATATAATTAGGAACCTGATTTTCCCCAGATACCCTCAAAAACTGGATGCTATGGTCCACCTCAGTGTCACTCCTGAAGTCTCCCTTGCTGATTCACCAGTGAAGATTTATGCCTCTGGCCTGGCACCCTCCCAGCTTGTGACCTTATATGCATCACTGACAGATGAAAGGGGAATTAAGTTTGCAGCCAGAGCCTTTTACCAAGCCAATCAGAATGGAGAAGTGGATGTGGCACAGGTTTCTGCTCTGGGAGGCAACTATACAGGTGTGTGGCCCATGGGCCTCTTCTACACTCTAAAGGCTGAGAAGATGTTCCACAGGCTGCTGAAACGTGATGTGACAGGCAGCCCCTTCTATGTTCAGATTAGCCTCTTCGATTCTACTGTGATGTTGCCGATACATGAACCACTGGCTACTTGCACTGTGGAACGATGGTATGCAGCCCCTGGAGTGGAACGCATCCCCATTAAGTCCGGCCGGGTCCGGGGAGCCCTCTTCTTGCCTCCAGGTAAGGAAACTGAATTCTGTTTTCTCTCCCACTTTTCCTTATTGCCTCTATCGCTTGCTTGCAACAGATGGTGCCTCCAAATGTATTTAGGGTGGTATTTATTTATTTTATTTTATTTTATTTTATTTTATTTTATTTTATTTTATTTTATTTTATTATTATTTTATTATTTTATTTTATTTTATTATTTTATTTTATTTTATTTTATTTTATTTTATTTTATTTTATTTTATTTTATTATTTTATTTTATTTTATTTTATTTTATTTTATTTTATTTTATTTATTTTATTTATTTTTTTTATTTTATTTTTTTTATTTTATTATTTTATTTTATTTTATTTTATTTTATTTTATTTATTTTATTTTTTTATTTTATTATTTTATTTTATTTTATTTTATTTTATTTTATTTTATTTTATTTTATTTTATTTTATTTTATTTTATTTTATTTTATTTTATTTTATTATTTTATTTATATACCGCCCTTCTCCCGAAGGACTCAGGGCGGTGAACAGCCATAATCAAACAGTGTACCAAATAGAATTTAAAAGCAGATTAAAATAATTAAATCATAGGCCGAATTTAAAACTCTCATTTAAAACCAATTTTAAAACCCCATTAAAACCAAATTAAAACCATTTATCCCATCAGAGTGGCTTGCTGGAATAACAGGGTCTTCACTGCACGACGGAAGGCACGGAGGTTGGGGATCCTTCGTATGTCCGGGGGCAATTCATTCCAGAGGGCAGGGCCCCCACAGAGAAGGCTCTCCCCCTGGGGGTCGCCAGTCTACATTGTTTGGCTGACGGCACCCTGAGGAGGCCCTCTCTATGTGAGTGTACCGGTCGGTGGGAGGCAATCGGTGGCAGAATGCGGTCTTGTAGATAGCCAGGTCCTAAGCCATGGAGCGCTTTAAAGGTGGTAACCAACACCTTGAAGCGCACCCGGAAGACCACCAGGAGCCAGTGCAGCTCGCACAAGAGAGGTGTTACATGGGAGCGAAGGGTCACCCCCATTATTACTCGCGTGGCCGCAATCTGGACTAGTTGGAGCCTCCGGGTGCTCCTCAAGGGGAGCCCCATGTAGAGAGCGTTACAATAGTCCAGACGGGAAGTGACGAGGGCGTGAGTGACTGTGTGCAAGGCGTCCCGATCCAGAAAGGGATGCAACTGGGAAATCAGGCGAACCTGATAAAAAGCCCCCCTGGCCACCGCCGTCATATGATCATCCAAAGACAGCCGTGAGTCCAGGAGGACGCCCAAGTTGCGAGCCCTCTCTGAGGGGGGTAAGATCTCATCCCCAATAGTCAGCGATGGTGTAAGCTGGCTATATCGGGACACCGGAAACCACAGCCACTCAGTCTTGGAGGGGTTGAGTCTGAGCCTGTTCCTCCCCATCCAGATCCGCACGGCCTCCAGGCAACGGGACATCACGTCAAGGGTATCATTGGGGTTGCCTGGGGTTGAAATGTACAACTGTGTGTCATTGGCATACAGTTGACACTTCACCCCAAAGCCACGGATGATCTCGCCTAGTGGTTTCACATAAATGTTAAATATGAGGAGCGAGAGAACTGATCCCTGCGGCACCCCACAAGTGAGGGACCTCGAGGTCAACCTCTGCCCTCCTGTCAACACAGACTGCGTACGGTCAGAGAGGAAGGAGGAGAACCACCGTAAAATGGTGCCCCCCACTCCCAACCCCTCTAGCCGACGCAGCATGATACCATGATCGATGGTATCAAAAGCTGCTGAGAGGTCTAGGAGGACCAGGACAGAGGAGCAACCCCTGTCCCGAGCCCTCCAGAGATCATCAACCAATGTAATCAATGCCGTTTCTGTGCTGTAACCCGCCCTGAAGCCCGACTGGCACGGATCTAGATAGACAGCTTCATCTAGGAATCGAGGAAGTTGTCTCGCCACCACACTCTCGACAACCTTCGCCGCGAAGCGAAGGTTGGAGACAGGACGATAATTAGCTAAAACAGCCGGGTCCAGGGAAGGCTTCCTGAGGAGGGGCCTCACCACCGCCTCGTTCAGGGCGGCTGGGAAGACACCCTCACCCAGCGAAGCGTTGGTAATCTCCTGAAACCAGCCTCGTGTAACCTCCCGGGAGGCCAGTACCAACCAGGAGGGACACGGGTCCAGTAAACATGTGGTAGTGTTAAGCCTCCCCAAAATCCTGTCCATGTCCTCAGGAGTCACAGGGTCAAACTCCTCCCAGATAACAGTCTCAAGACTCGCCTCCGTCATCCCATCCGAAACTATCCAATCAGAGTCCAGGCCGTGCCGAATCTGAGTGATTTTATCATGCAGATATTGCCCAAAATTCTCAGCTCTACCCTGCAAGGGGTCCTCCCTCGCTCCCACTTGGAGTAGAGAGTGGGTCACCCTGAACAGGGCGGCTGGGCAGTTCTCTTCAGATGCAATAAGAGTGGAAAAATAGTTAGATTTCGCCACTCTTATTGCCACTAGGTAGGTCTTGTTATAAGACCTCACCAGTGTCCGGTCTGATTCGGCACGGCTGGTCCTCCAGTCGCTCTCTAGGCATCTTTTCCGGTGCTTCATCTGTCTCAGCTCCTCGGAGAACCAAGGAGCCAATTGAGAACGGCACCGGATCAGAGGCCGCAAAGGCGCAACGCGGTCCAAGGCTCCGGTGGCCGCCCTATCCCAGGTGGCCGCCAGCTCCTCAGCTGAGCCATAAGTCAGAGCCTCTGGGAATGGCCCAAGCTCCATCAGGAACCTCTCGGGGTCCATCAGGCACCTGGGATGGAACCACCTGATCGGTTCCGTCTCCCTGCGGCGAGGGGGAGCAGTACGAAAGTCCATCTGAAGGAGCGAATGATCTGTCCATGACAAGGGCTTGATGACTAGATCCCCTATTGTGAGATCATTCAGCCACTGACCAGAGACAAAAATCAAGTCTAGCGTGTGTCCCCCTATGTGGGTAGGATCATGAACTAACTGGGTCAGGTCCATGGCCGTCATGGAAGCCATGAACTCCTGAGCCGCTTCCAATGTTTCACCGACGGATGGCAGGTTGAAATGCCCCATGACCATAAGCCTGGGGGTATTCACCGCCACACCTGCTATTACGTCGAGCAGCTCAGGCAGGCCAGCTACCACGCGGCAGGGAGCCAGGTACGTGGTCAGCAAATCCATCTGCACTCCATGACCCCACTTAACAAAGAGGGACTCACAGCTAGCTATCTGAGAAACAGTGGCCTCCCTTGGACTAAGACTTTCTTTAATAATCACCGCTACCCCTCCGCCCCTCCCCTGGGCTCTCGGCTGATGAAATGCATGGAAGCCTGGTGGGCACATCTCCACGAGGGGAACCCCCCCCCCCTCATGGCCCAGCCAGGTCTCTGTGATCCCAGCCAGGTCCACACACCCCTCTTGAACTAAATCATGAATGAGGGGGCCTTTATTAGTCGCAGACCTGGCATTGCACAACAACAACCAAAGGCCCGGGCCCTGAGACTCTGCACAACCTGGAATACAAGAAGCGCCTTGGGGGCCGGAGCATGCCACCGCTCACAACCAGCGAGTGCGTATTCCCCATACCTGATATGGCCCCCTGCGCCCGCCATATCTGCCCCTCCCACCCACTGTTTTGATGGAATGGCCCTTCATCTCGTTCCCCGGCTCCCTATCTAACCCCCCTCCCTCTCTCCTCCCGCCATGACCCTCAGACCCACTCTGCCGCTCTGTGTTTCTACAGACCCCCCAGGTCCTTCCCACCCCTTCCTAAGACCCCGTAAAAACTTTGTATAAGTATTAATCAAAAATCCCCTCAGTCTCCTTTTTGCTGCATGCCACCTCTCGGGGTTTCAAAACCCGTCATCGAGGTAGGCCCTCGATAGAGTGGAGGGCCAAGCCTGCGAGAGGGGGGAGTCTCGCAGCCCAAGGAGTTCTGCTGTCAAATACATTTGTTACTGGGAGTAGTTATGGCTTATAACCAGGGGGTCAACCATGATGATTTAAGAGTCCAACGGAGGAAATATATAAGTCTTAGGTAGTATACATTGGAAAACGCCACTGCCTTCATGATAGTGGGAGGAGTCAAGGATAGTCCAGAAACAATGGAAGTAATAGCTGAGGCTGACTCCCTCAATATTCATACCTAAGGTAAACTTCTCCTTTCGGTTAGGGAGGACAGATAGAGCAATGCCAATCCATAGGCCCAGAGATATAAGTCTGTTTACAGAGTTAGTGCAGTGGGCGTATCAGGAGATGATCCGATGAAGAGTAGATGGAAAATGATGGTGGTATCCAGCTGAGACTGAAAATGACCTGGATAGCATGGGTCCATCTTACGGGCTGAACCCGGCAAAAAGGTAGTGCCTAGACTTCCTAGCAAGCATGGAAACACTGTTGATTTGTGCTTGGATGAGCAATCCCATAATCTGTTAGCCTTTTGAGATTAGCCAGACCAGGAAACCATCTTCACAAGTTTGTCTGGATCTATATTTTATTATCTTCCAAAATTAATCCGTCATATCTTCCAAAATTTCTTAGTTACCTGGTTACTAGCATTCCCATAAGGATTTCTAATATTAAAATTTCTGAAGTGTTCATCTTCTTTGGCTAGATTGAAAGGTCTGATCTCCTTCTCCACCTCTGCCTCTCTACTTTGGATGGTGATTGGCTGTTCTGTGGATATGAGCACAGAGCACTTTTATCTAAGTTGGATCATGATACTGATAAAAGAGACCATGTGCCCATGCACAAAGCAAGTGAAGATCTGAACACTTTTTGAAAAAGGGCACATAAAAATAGAAAGGCATGTCATGTCACAAGGAGGGGAACAAATGCGTCACCCGGATATGCATAGATGTTGTTGGGAAAACTAAAGCTGAGAATGAGTCGAAGTTAGTGAAAATTGGTAAGGACAACAAAAAGTATTCATGCCCAAAGGAAAAAAAACAATAATTGATATATGAGCTATGAGAACTACCCATCTCATTCTTTGGCCCAGTCTTTTCTGAGAAGCACTCCATTGGATAGAAATATGGTCAGGGAACACTTATTGAATAAAGTCTTTTGGCCTAGATGATTCCTAGACCACCGGAAAAAACCTGCTGATGATCTTTATCTTTGAAATTATCTCGAAGAATATATGAAATACTAAATGACTAAAGGACAAAAATACTGTCAGAAAGGAGGAACTGGGGAACTACAAATCAGTCAATTTGGCATCAATATTTGGGAAGATTCTAAAGCAGATCATGAAAGAATTTACGTGTTACCATCTTGAAGAAATATTTGAACTTCATATATTTGCAGTAGTACTAATTTACAATATTTGTAGACCGCCCTAGTTATGAGAGTCTGTTACTACCCACCACTATAAGTTAGCATGTATCAGACTAATCTTTACTTTCTATTCACATCTTTCATAGATTATGGAAGTGCTGTATACCAATGCATTTGACAAAGTATCTATGACATTGTCATGAGCAGGCAGGATGATTACGATTGAGTGACATGTCAGTTTGGATATATAGTGATTCAAAAATAATATTCAGATTCAGAATCATTTAATCATGATTCTTCATGAAACTGACCTGAGATACTGAATTCAGTGCTGCCAACTTCACCCTGGCACTTACATGATTTAATATTTTATATTAATTTCTTTGATGAAGAGGTAGGAGGGAAAGCTCTTCACATCTGCAGATGACACAGAATTAAGTGAAATAGCTGATGCCCTAGAAGATACAGATAAAATTGAACATGGATGTAGTAGTTCAGAGAAATGGAACAAAAATGACAGAAAGAAACTTATTTGAGACAACAAAAAGTCTTTCATGCATCTCACAAATAAGATGTGAGATGCAAAGCTTGCTAACTGTACCTATGAAAAAGATTTTGCAACGGTAGCTGAGTGAAAATTAAATTTGGCCCAGTAGTGTGACATAGCTGCAAAAAAAAGAAGAAGAAAAGAAAACAAACAAACAAACAAACAAACACAGTTTTAGACATCATTAAAAGCATTGTTCCCAAATCAGAAAAAAATAATGTATTTGATAAAAGGATATTACTCTTTGTTTTTCATTTCTTTACTTATCCTTGTTTTTTCTCCCTTTCTGCCTCACCAGGCCCTGGGCCATTTCCAGGACTGATTGACCTGTTTGGTGGAGCTGGAGGACTAATCGAATTTCGAGCTGGCTTATTGGCTAGTAAAGGCTTTGCAGTTCTGGCTTTGGCTTTCTTTGGATATGATGATTTACCGCAGACTCTGGAAGTAATAGATCTGGAGTATTTTGAGGAAGCATCCAGACTGCTCTTGAAAAATCCTAAGGTATGCCTGAGATTATACCTTTTCTTAAACTTCTTGTTGAGACTCAGGAAAGATCCTAGAGTTTATTCTTTATTTGCTATGTAGAATACTTCATACAAACTAGGCATGCTATGCACCCATCAGATATAACAAGCTAAAGGCATTTTGGGCCTGTCATGAGCACAGCACAGATCAGTAGCATTATTCCTGAGGGCAGAATGATGAGAGCAGCATTGCATTGCCACCTTTTGTATGTGCATTGTGATATCCCATGCACATACAAAAGGTGCAGGGCTGACCTTTCAATGCTGCAATGCTCCTTTGCCATTTTGTGGACACCCATGACACCCACCCCACTTGGTTTTGATTAAAGCATACAATTTCTTTCCTTAGGCTTCCTTGTGTGTATCTGAAAAACATGCAAAAATATGCAATTGAGAGTCATGCTAAAAGTGCACTGCTTTAAAGAGCTGATTCATAAAAGCAGCAACATTTTTGTCAGGCTTGCTTGCTTCCTTCTCCCTGTCATATTTTCTTGTCATATATTGGTTGGCTGGCAGAAAGACAAGGTGACCAATTTTCCATTTTTGAATGGTGTAGATCTGCGATAATATAACACATGAACTAAAAGACTGTCATTTTTTAAATAGCTTTGATATCAACCCTCATTGTTTTAAAGAAGAAACTGATTTAAACTTTTGTTATGTCTCACTGTGTTTGCTCCTCTAGGTAAGAGGTCCGGGACTTGGAGTTATTGGTTTATCCAAAGGAGCAGAAATTGCATTGGCCATGAGTACCTTCTTAAAGGAAATAGTGGCTTCAGTGTGCATCAATGGTCCAACAAGAATGTGTGGTACACCACTCCACTTTCATGATATCAGTATCCCTGGAGCTTCCTTCCCATATGAGAAGCTCGTCATTAATGAAATGGGATTGATATCCACTTTCCATGGCATGGGACATCCTCTGGATCAAACACCTGACGTATCTACCATCCCTATAGAGAAGGCTCAAGGGCACATCCTCTTTGTGGTGGGAGAAGTTGACCAAAGCTTCAATAGCAAAGTGTTTGCTGAAGCAGCCATGGCTCGAGCAAAGAAACATGGGAAAAATAATTGTAGCCTGTTGTCTTATCCAGGAGCTGGACATTTGATAGAACCCCCTGGATCACCAGTTTGCTATGCCTATCCACTTCGGTTTTCTCTCTTCCCAGTCAGGTGGGGAGGAGAAGTGAAGCCTCATGCTAAAGCCCAAGAGCACTCTTGGAATGAGATCCTGATTTTTTTAAAGTTTCATCTTGGGCCAATTCAGAATAGTAATTTATGATAAAAGAAAGGCTCAGTTGTTTAGCTTCCTTTAGAATTATGTATTTGGATAATTGAGGCCATGAACTCTAATCTTCTTATCCTGTGTAGGTTAAAGTTAAAATATCTCCTTTAGATGAAGGGGGATCAGGGGTGGGTTCTACTTACCTTTACTACCGGTTCGCATCGTGCCCCCGCGCACACTCTTCTGTGCATGCACAGATCACTTCTGATGACGTCTGGGTCAGTGGGCAGAGCCTCCTGCCAGTTTTACTACCGGTTCTTGCGAACCAGTCCGAACCGGGGGCAACCCACCACTGAGGGGGGCCTTCTAACTCTTTGACTAATTAGATGTCCACGAAGAGATGGAAATGACTGAACAATTGCACAGCAAGAAATCTTGATATATAGCTTTAAAATGTAGGTCTTGTGATGTCATTATAGCCTCCACAGTCATCCCTAAAAAGTCTTTTCTGTGCTTGCTAAAGAGAGTCTCAATATAAGGAACCAACTGCTTCTCCAGCATTTGTTACACATTTGTTGAGAATGTGTAATGCTCCTCAGGCCACTCCTGTGAAAGCGGCCTCCGCTCAACTTTGTTCCACTTCAGAAATTTGCCAGCTTCTGCCACCATAAACCACGCTGAACAGCCAGTCTCACAATTTAGGGTGGGCACCTGCCCTGCTTCTTGTTGGCTATCCAACAACATCTGTGGGTGTGCCACCCTTCCAGTCCCTGGCGTCTGTTAGGAAATTTTTCAGAATATTCAAAGTCTGCCTCACATGTTTACATGTCCCACAGTCTGAGAAGAAAACAGACATTAGCATTCTCTGCGGGCTTCTTAATTCTCTTCCATCCTTTCATCCATCATTTGCTTTTCATAAAGTTACCCTGTTTCCCCGAAAATAAGACATCCCCTGATAAGCCCAATTGGGCTTTTGAGCACATGCGCTAAAATAAGCCCCCCCCAAATAAGCCCTCCCTGAAAATATTTAGACACATGCGCAGTCGGTCCCAGCCATTTCCTCTGGTTTTCTCTACATGCCCCAAAATAATAAGACCTCCCCAAAAATAAGGCCAAGTGCTTATTTCAAAAAATAGACAGGGTCTTATTTTCAGGGAAACGTGGTATACACGTCAAGATGCTTCATTCTGCCCTCAAAGAACTTACTTGCCATTCTCTGAAACTACATCAGCTTGTGTGAATTCTTAAAGGGTGGAACATTTCCTCCTGAGATTTGGAACTTACATTTCTTCTGGTGCAAAGTAAATTGCATTTGCCCAGGGGTGAAATCTACTTACCTTCCCTACCAGGTCAGAAGTGAGTGCATTGTCACGTCCAATTTTTGACCCTCTGTGCATGCGCAAACCCATCTGTACATGCGCAGAGGGTCAAAAACGGGTTACTTCCCGGTTCAAACTGGGAAGTAATGATGCCAGGGTGGGTGGGCGGAGCCTTGTGCTGCCGCCGCTACCAGTTCACCAAACCATGTGCTGCTGCCACTACCAGTTCGCCAAACCAGGCGCTGCCACTGCTAGGGTTCACCAAACCACGTGCTGCTGCCACTACCGCTTCGCTGAACCACACACTGCCGCCACTACTGCTTCATCAAACCATGCGCTGCCGCCACTATTGGTTCGCATGAGCCAGACAGAACTGGTAGGATTTCACCACTGCATTTGCCCTTTTTTTATAACATCACAATGCTATATCATAGTTTCCAATCAACAAGTATTCTACAAGCTCTCAACCAGGTTTATGCCACCTGAAAATATGATAAGTTGTCAGTGATTGTAACCAGAAAAAAGACCATTCACAGGGTTTACTGATCCATAGTTTATTTGATCCATAGTTTGTTGGATAAGCCATTGCTGCCTGATTAACATAAAATGCCAATGACCATAGAATACAAACCATCAACCTTTTAAAGTTCACAAGCCATAATAAAACATAAAGTGATTTGCTTGAATTTGCTTAGTGTGATGTGGGAACTCATTGTCAGCCCCAAGGAACCAAGAATGACACAAGGAGCTACTTCAGAGTATTCAGAGTACTTCACCATCTGGTCAGAACATATCCTTACATCCCCCACCACCACCGCGATCCAGTCTCAACTGTCAGTACCTATCCTTTCAACCTGCCCCCTGCCATCACATATGATGATGTTTCATGGATGAGAAACGAAACGTTTTGTTCTTCTTCCTCAAGAAAAAAAAATAACCAGTCCAGTTGCCTTTTCAAAAAGCACCTTTGAGACAACTATGACTTGGATGACAGAATCTCCACAGACACTGAGTACACTACTTCACAGTACTTTCTTTACTGTTACTCACCAATAGGCAGAAATTTTGCCAAACTAAAGCACTTTTTTGTGTGACTATTAGATTTATCCTGTGAACTGCTAGGGAAGGTCTACCTTTGCCCTTTTCCTACATACCAAAAATTCAAAGCTATGTTGTCTCGTTGCTCCTTGAGAAGGAGTTCATCCTCCTGTAATTCTGGACTATATCCCACCACACTCAGTCTAGATGAGAATATCCTTATGACATAATTTATTCTGTAAAGTACATATCAGAAATATAACTTTGTAGTAAAGGGCAAATATATATATATAATTTCCAGGTTTCTATTTGTCTCATGCTTCCATAAGATTGATTGATATTTCTTTAGTATAAGTGCTCAAATTAAGTCAGTAATGTTTTTTTTCCCTATTCCTATCCCAAAGAAAGCCTCAACCAACGCTAAGCTAGCCCACTTACAATATAAAAAGGCTTCTCAACCAAGCCCAAAGCCAACTGATCATATCTTATATTAAATTATGAGAGCTTATTTCATTGCATGGATCCATTCCCATCTTAGCAAGTAGCAGCACCTAATTGTACTTCGAAGCCAAATATACTTGGACCTGATTAGTACCCAAATGGAAATATCCAAGGAAACATTTTGAAGACAGGGCATACCTCTTTTTGAGGCAAACAGACACCAAATACAAAAATATCAGTCATACTGCATGTCCAAAAAATAAACTGACCATTGTCACACAAATGTGGAGTGGAATGCATGACTTCTGGAAATAGGCCTATGTATTCAAGGCGTCTTTCTTCCAGATTTCCATATTTTAAAAATGGCATCAAGAAAACCTGGGATTATCAATGGAATGTGTTCAGTTGCTGTAAATTATTGTGAAGGATGTGTTTTAGAAATGGAGGATTCTAAGTAACCCAATCTAGTTGACAGCACCTAGCTGACCTTGACTGATCTCAAAAAAAAGCTAAGCAGGGTAAGATATTCAGTACTTAGATAGGAGACAATCAGGAAAATTCAGGGCAATGCAGATAGTCCTCAACCTAGGATTGTGATTCAGCCCAAAATATGGTTGTAAATTGTGCCAGACTGCCAGTCATTAAGCAGGTCATCACATGAACAACTTGATTTTGTAACTTTTTTTGCAGTGGTGGTTGTTAAGGGAATCCATTGGAAGTAAATCCCAGTTTCTGGCAAAAAAATGTCATAAATTGTGCTCATGGGAACACAGGTTGCTGTAAACAGCCATAAATATGGGCCAGTTGTGAAGCACCCAAAATTTAATCACATGATCTGGAGGATGGGGGAAGGCATTGGAACTTAAAATCCAGGTCATAAGTAGAGATGGAAAAAAACTGGAAAAATTGGGAAAAAAGCAGGGCTTTTTCTTTCTTTTTTTCCCCAAAGCTGTTTGAAAAAAAAATTGGGCAAAAAAACCTTTTTTCCCAATTTTTCCTTTTTTTCCCAGGCCTTCGTATCTCTAGTCATAAGTACCTTTTGGGGAGTGGGGTCTGTTGTAACTTTGAATGGTCACTAAGCACCTATAGTCTAAAGAGAAGTTGAAAAATACTAAAGAATACAACAATGGTGAATGCTTCTATTATTGTTGCCAAGAAAATTAATAAACATGTCTTTCGTGTCACTATAAGTCAAGATCAACTCAAAGGAGTCTTTGTTTTTCTATGGGCCAAATGCTTTTATTTATTTATTTTTTTTCTATCCTTTCATTCCTTCTTTTGCACAATGAACTTTAAAATATCAAGAAAAGGCAGTCGGTTCTGAAAACAGGACTTTAAGAATCATGATTAGGAAAAAAGAAAGGAACAAGAGTGGAGCATGAACAGGGATATTTAGATAGATGTCTTTAAAAAATTATTTTAGAATTAAGATAATAACTATAGTTATTTTAAGGAATCATAGCATTATCTTAATTCTATAATTTATTTAGGTGCCCAGAAAGACAAATTACAGATAGTTATGAAGATGAGCAGTCTAAACATAGAAATTGTTGTAGGTATTATTTCAGTTATCTGAAAATGAAAATTCATTCTATTGTTAGTTTGTTAAAGAGATAATATGCACAGGTCAAACGCTTCAGTTCTTGCCTTAGAGTGCAACAAAACTTTTGTGAAGCAGTGAGGGTCGGATCTATCACTCCCCTGGGGGTCCCACAAAACTAAGTCAGTGGCTGCTTGGCTCTGCTCACTAATAGTCTAGGGAAGTATAGTCCAATGGAAAACATAATATAGTTTAGTTGTAACTGTCTTGCTAGAGCAGCACTCTTTTCACCAGTTGGCAGCAGTGAGAATAAGGAGAAGCAACTTTGTTTGGATGGGTGAGAAAGATGTTATTTAGCACACTGCTAGTGAGCCAAGTGGAATCGAATAGCCTGGTAAAAGCAGATTGGGAACTTCAGGGATCTCTTGCTGAGGGCACTTCAAGACTGGACAGTGCTTTGGACAATGTCATAGCCACCAGAGGGCTAAATTGACCAGATTCAGACTGACAGAAGTACTCCCATCTGATTGTAAACTCTTGAATATTCATTGATAATTGTTCAACCATATTAAGTAGGAAACACTAAAAGGGATTAAATCTTCAGACAAGACTCTGTTATCTTCACAAGGGGTCTCAGGTAGTCTTATTTATTACTATACAAGACAGTAGGATTTTGATGGCAGAAAAGGCATCATATTAAGTACCAAATTTTAAAACCAAACACTGGACAAGTTTATATTTTGCCCGGTAGAATTCCTTCACTTTCTTTCACAAATTCATTCTGTGTATTAAGCTTTTGTGATAAATGTTTGGATCAGGATTAAGAATTTCCATTTTCCCTGGATTATGTTTGCACATAACAGTGTTGTTATGTACACTGAGAGCATATGCACCAAAGACAAATTCCTTGTGTGTCCAATCATGCTTGGCCAATAAAGAATTCTAATCTAATAACCACTTTTCAAGCTTCCATGAACTATTTTTAAGCTTGGCTATGTGTTTATTTCTCCCCTTATTCACCCAGGTAAAAGGCCCCAAAATTGGAGTTATTGGCTTGTCCAAAGGAGCTGAAGTTGCATTAGCCATGGGAACCTTCTTAGAGGAAATAGCAGCTGCAGTTTGCATCAATGGTGCCACAAGTATGAATGGTGCACCCCTCCATTTTCGTGATATCAACATCCCTGCTGTACCCTACTCAGCAGACGCAATTCTTATCAATGAAGTGGGATTGATGTCCAGTGTCAATGTTATGGGAGATCCTCTGGATTCAGTTCATGAAGTCTCTGCCATTCCCGTGGAAAAAGCCCAGGGTCACATTCTCCTTGTGGTAGGAGAAGCTGACCAAAGCTTGAACAGCAAGATGTTTGCTGAAGTGGCCTTGGGCCGTGCAAAGAAGTATGGGAGAACTAACTGCATCTTATTACCTTACCCTGGGGCTGGACATATGATAGAACCACCAGGATCCCCAATTTGTTTTATCTCTTCTATCCGGGGTAGTCCTATACCCACAGTATGGGGAGGGGAGATGAAGCCTCATGCCAAAGCTGAGGAACACTTCTGGAAAGAGGTCCTGAAATTTTTTGAGCTCCATCTTGGCCCAGCGGGAAAGTGGTGATATTAGAAAAAAGTGCAGATTTCATAAGTTCTTTGGGTCCAAAAAAGTCTACTCAGAAGATAAAAATTAGGTTCTCATAATGCAGGTGTCATAAAGATAACTAGAGAGTAAGAATCATGTGCCATGACAAGACTCTGGAAATGCAAAAAGATTAACGGTACTTGTCTTGTTTGATCTATTGTGAATTTCAGAGTATTTCTATAAATTTCTTTTTCAAATAAAATGATGAGTTAATTATAAATATGTTGGCTTTGAAATGAATCCTTTGGCCTCTTTTGTGTACAAAAAATCTCCATAAATTCTCAATGTGTTGCATCTATTGTGGTAAACAACTTGTTTCATAAACAGCTATCTGCAGGATTCCTAATTAATCTCAGGGTAGGACCAGTGGTGGGTTGCCCCCGGTTTGCATCGGTTCTATAGAACTGGTAGTAAAACCAGCGGGAGGCTCCGCCCAGTGACCTTGACATCATCAAAATGTTTTTGCGCATGCGCAGAAGAGCGCGCGCACAGCCCCGTTGCGAACCGGTAGTAAAGGTAAGTAGAACCCACCCCTGGGTAGGACATACAGTCAGGTCCATAAATATTGGGACATCGACACAATTCTAACATCTTTGGCTGTATACACCACCACAATGGAGTTGGAATGAAACAAACACAATGTGCGTTAACTGCAGACTGTCAGCTTTAATTTGAGGGTTTGTACATCCAACTCAGGTGAACGGTGTAGGACTTACAGCAGTTTGTATATGTGCCTCCCACTTGTTAAGGGACCAAAAGTAATGGGACAATTGGCTTCTCAGCTGTTCCATGGCCAGGTGTGTGATATTCCCTCATTACCCCAATTACAATGTGCAGATAAAAGGCCCAGAGTTCATTTCAAGTGTGCTATTTGCATTTGGAATCTGTTGCTGTCAACTCTCAAGATGAGATCCAAAGAGCTGTCACTATCAGTGAAGCAAGCCATCATTAGGCTGAAGAAACAAAACAAACCCATCAGAAAGATAGCAAGAACATTAGGCGTGGCCAAAACAACTGTTTGAAACATTCTCAAAAAGAAGGAATGCACCGGTGAGCTCAGCAACACCAAAAGACCTGGGAGACCATGGAAAACAAGTGTGGTGGATGACCGAAGAATTCTTTCCCTGGTGAAGAAAACACCCTTCACAACAGTTGGCCAGATCAAGAACACTCTCCAGGAGGTAGGTGTACGTGTGTCAAAGTCAACAGTCAAGAGAAGACTTCACCAGAGTGAATACAGAGGGTTCACCACAAGATGTAAACCATTGGTGAGCCTCAAAAACAGGAAGGCCAAATTAGAGTTTGCCAAACAACATCTAACAAAGCCTTCACAGTTCTGGAACAAGATCCTATGGACAGATGAGACCAAGATCAACTTGTACCAGAATGATGGGAAGAGAAGAGTATGGAGAAGGAAAGGAACTGCTCATGATTCTAAGCATACCACCTCATCAGTGAAGCATGGTGGTGGTAGTGTCACAGCATGGGCATGTATGGCTGCCAATGGAACTGGTTCTCTTGTATTTATTGATGATGTGACTGCTGACAAAAGCAGCAGGATGAATTCTGAAGTGTTTTGGGCAATATTATCTGCTCACATTCAGCCAAATGCTGCAGAACTCATTGGACAGCGCTTCACAGTGCAGATGGACAATGACCCAAAGCATACTGCAAAGAGCAACCAAAGAGTTTTTGAAGGGACAGAAGTGGAATGTTATGCAATGGCCAAGTCAATCACCTGACCTGAATCCCATTGAGCATGCATTTCACTTGCTGAAGACAAAACTGAAGGGAAAATGCCCCAAGAACAAGCAGGAACTGAAGACAGTTGCAGTAGAGGCCTGGCAGAGCATCACCAGGGATGAAACCCAGCGTCTGGTGATGTCTATGCGTTCCAGACTTCAGGCTGTGATTGACTGCAAAGGATTTGCAACCAAGTATTACGAAGGGAAAGTTTGATTTATGATTATTATTCTGTCCCATTACTTTTGGTCCCTTAACAAGTGGGAGGCACATATGCAAACTGCTGTAAGTCCTACACCGTTCACCTGAGTTGGATGTACATACCCTCAAATTAAAGCTGACAGTCTGCAGTTAACACACATTGTGTTTGTTTCATTCCAACTCCATTGTGGTGGTGTATAGAGCCAAAGATGTTAGAATTGTGTCGATGTCCCAATATTTATGGACCTGACTGTATGTAAACCATGCTTGGTTCTATTGGGATACTGACTTACATGCATTATAAAGTTATTCAATCACACTTATTTCCCTTTTTACCTTCTTATTATTTTAGTATGATTTAGGTAAAAATGTTAAAGAAGTTACATTTTTAAGTGCAGTGCTGTCTGCAAAAAACCCTGAAAGCTGTTAACTCTGATAATTAACATAAATAACAAATTTGTATCAATGTTAAATATAATATTTCTAATATAAAACAAGCATGGATTGCTTATACAGTGGATGCAAAATATAACATTGATAAATTGCAAAATGTGTTGCATGATTTTGTCATATGAAAAAAGTTTATATCTTTGAACTTTATAACATCAGCTGCCTGCAATTACTGCAAGTTCAAATCTCACCAGGCTCAAGGTTGACTCAGCCTTCCATCCTTTCTAAGGTAGGTAAAATGAGGACCCAGATTGTGGGGGCAATAAGCTGACTTTGTATAAAATATACAAAAGTATGAAGCCTATTGCTTAACGCATTGTAAGCCGCCCTGAGTCTTCGGAGAAGGGTGGCATATAAATCATTTTTTAAAAAAAAAATCTCTATTATTTTTATTGTTATTTATAACTACTAAAAAGTGGGGGGCGGGAGGAAAAGAAAAAGGGTGTCCTGCTTGGAAATAATACATAGGTATTTAATTTAAATCTCTAACTTCCCCTTTCTCTGTACTGCAACTAATTTGCAGATTATATGAACATTCAAAGTCACTTTAAAATCATATTAGCAATGTTTGTACTTGCCTTTTTGTAAGGTGACCAGACGTCCCGCTTTTGGCGGGACAGTCCCACTTTTG